TTAAGACTGCAAGAGCTGGGCCTGTTCAGCCTGGAGAAGAGAAGATTGAGAGGGGATCTCATCAACGTGTACAAGTATCTGAAGGGGGAGTGTCAAGAGGATGAGGCCAACCTCTTCTCCGTGGTGCCCAGCGACAGGACAAGAGGCAACGGGCAGAAACTGAACCACAGGCAGTTCCACCTAAACCTGAGAAAAAACTTCTTCACTGTGAGGGTGACAGAGCATTGGAGCAGGTTGCCCAGAGAGGTAGTGGAGTCTCCTTCCCTGGAGATATTCAAAACCCGTCTGGATGTGATCCTGGGCAATATGCTGTAGAGGTCCCTGCTTGAGCAGGGAGGTTGGACTAGATGATCTCCAGAGGTCCCTTCCAACCTAAACCATTCTGTGATTCTGTGATTCTGAGTACAGTCTTGTTGATTTAATCCAGCGCACAGGGAAAATGCTGACAGTCCTCCAAGTACTGCCACATAAAAACCTAAGTTATAAACCGTTGCCAGAGTAGCATCCAAGGAAACAAGACAGACAAAGGTATGCATATATTAATCAGAACAACATACCAAAGTTTATTGATTACTTCAAACAAAAGTTTCTGTAATGAAAAAAGAGCAAGTTGCATTCATAAAAGGTAACATTCACATTCAATCTCCTTTATATAAAGCAACATAAACGTATAAAATTGCATTTAAGTGAAAAAATGTAAGGTTGCAGTCCATTTTTTTTGCAAGAAGCTGAAAATGTATCTTCTCATTGCCTGTATATAATTTACACTTTCTATATACTACATGGTGTTTAAAAAAAATTCCATGGCTAGGAAATTGGATGAATGGAACAATATTAGGTATGGTTTTCAACTGCTGTAAGTGTGTACACAAATTCAATTTTAAGCTTTTATGCAATTCCAAGTCATTTATAATATTCTCATAACAATGAAGATTAGGTTTGGGGGTTTCTTTTGAAAAGTAGCTATGACTACACCAAGTTTTTCCATTATCACATAAAACTTTTAGAGGGAGTCTTACTTACTTTTCTTATCTTTCAGAGTCACTAACCAGTGACTAAACTTCAATTAATTATTAGCAAAAACCCTAGCCTTTTTCCTTCAAGTTTTTCCACCGATAAGCCTGTACTGACCTTTTAGCTCATGAAAGAGCACAGCAATAGTGCAGCTTGTATTGTTTTATAGGAACAGCCATCACAGTATTACTGTCAAATTACTGCCACTCTCACGTCCTGCTGGCTGATGCTTTATAGCTAGTATCACCACCTTTCTCTTCCTTCTCTAGCTCCAGATTGGTCTCCTGTTTCCCCTCATTTCACAATGCATCTGCAGCACCAGACATTTCCCTTCTACTGTTTCCGAGCCAGGACAACCAGCGCTCCTGCTGGTACGAGGCTGTCCCGGCACCGCTGAGCTACGCCACTGAAATAGCTGAAGATCTGAGTCCAAGAAAATGCGCATTTCCAAAAAGAGCTGGTATTCAAGACATTTCTGTTTACCCCAACCCCCGTCTCAGCAGCTTACACGTGCCTTGGGTTTAAATGTACAGCTATGGCAAATGGTTTACTCCGTACTGACACTGGATACTCGTAAAAGGGAAGATTTGGCACGCAGAAGGCTCTTGTCTTAAAACAGGCTGCAGCATTCAGCCTGTGTAAGTGGCTTTAGTAGGACAGTTCACACATAGCACAAACACTGCAAGCTTCGTCCTGTTCCCTGTAACATCAACAGCGAAACCTCCGGGCGAGTCTTCATGGGAACAGAGCGTGACCCTAGAAGTCGAATACAACACAAAAGAAACCGAGAAGCAGGCTGTCAGACTTGGGACGACTCGGGCTCGGAATGGTTTTGAATCACAGGAATTACGCGTTTCAGTGCCCGCATTTTAAAGGTTATGTAAACAGAAGACAGCAACTGTACATTTAAGGAGAAAGGTTGGATTTGGCATATAGAGCGCATCTTTCTTGTATTCATCGCATACTTGATCTGTAGGCACCGTGTTTTAGTAATGAAACAGAATTGGCCAAGGTCTGCAGGTTGAATTCTAGGTCCACGAGATGAGCTAGAAAAAGGAAAAAGCAGAAAGCTTTGCCCATGGTGGGCATGCTGCAAGTGCAGCTCCTTACTTGCATGCAGCAAGGAGTCAAGCCGTGGTTACCAACAAGGTGACAACGAGCGTGGCGTGCACCGAGGCCAGCGCAGGGCGTATGATACAGCGGTCCCGTCCGTACACCCGCGCCGAGCCATCGAGGGCAGCCGTGGCCACAGGGGCTGTGCAGCCCCTTCGCTCCTTCTGCCCTGCGACCCGTCCCGATAGAGGTAGGGGGCCACAGCTTCCCCAGCCCGTGGGTCAGGATTCGCCTGCAGCTCACGATCCCGATCCTGCTTTCGCCAGAGTCGGGGAGGGACCGAGGGGCGCGATTCTTCGGAGAGGCAACAGTCCGCTGCGTAGCAAAACTGGAGGAAGGGAACGTCCTGTCTCGTCCCAATTCATCCTCTCTTTGCGTGAAAAGGAAACGGAGCCCAAGGGAAACACAACGGGAGCCAGGCCCGACTGCAGCGTAGAGTTTACACTACTTCTGAAATCAGACGTGAATGCTTATCGCAGCGTTTCCTCTGCGCCGCCATGCAGACCTCCAGCCAGCAGCAGATTGTACCAGGCGGGGCAAAGGGAAGTCAGCACGAGGGTAAACCTTAATATCAAGTAATAGCGGCATGCAAGCTGCTCCCATGACTGCTTATTACTTAAAACAATTTAAAACCCTGCATTTTTCACAGCTGAAGTATCAGAGAGAGCTGAGATTCAGACATCCCACCTCTCTGCTATGCACATGTGATATTTACAACCTAAAAAACAAGCAAAAGTTTCCCCCATCTTAGTAAAGGTGGATTTAAAAAGGACATGCCAATTTAAAAACCAAGTAAAGTATAAAATGAATGAGATCAGACTAAGCTATTCATTTTATTTTTAAATGACTTTTTTTTTTTTTTTCTCCTTAGTGCAAATAACTCAGGATGCAGTTTGATGCCTGCAAGTGTGGACAGGCACAATCCGTGTCCCTAGGACCATCCAAGGGCAGCACTGCCATTCAGGCCTGAAAGTGTTTAAGCAACTGCACAGCGCAGCAACGTGACCGCAGCCACAGAAGCCCGGGCAAAACTGGGCTGGATGTCTGGCACAGCACAATTTGTGAGCTTCTTTCCTAACCAAGAAAGCTTTCATAACGAACACGATGAACAGTCCTTGCCTGTTTCCAAAACATGAGGGAAAAACATTCTTTTTTCCCCTTCCTCCAGGAAAGGGCCCATCAGCACAGAGGAGCGGATGGGCAGCGCGAGAACTTCGACGTCTCATCAGCGCCGCGGCCCTCCACGTGGGCACACTGCTCCTCAAGGACCACAGGTCACCTCTAACCGCGCTGGCTGCCAGGGGAAGGACATCTGACCGGACACCTCGCACCATCGGTGAAGACCTCTCCCAGGTTTTCACGCCTTCCTGCTGTGCCCATCCAGCCCCAGCGCTTCGGAGGGTCGCAGCTCACCTGCGGAGCGGGACGTGGACCCAGCCCGCAGCTGGAGGAACCCGCTGGCCCGAGCTAGGTGCCCGTCACAGCATAACCTGCCTCCCGCGCCGGACGAAGGGCCTTCCTGCCGCACCCTCGGGGAGTTGGATGGGGCTGATAGCGGGTTTGGAGTCTGCGCTGCTTCTTTGGTCAGGCAAAGCAAAAGGCTGCGACAGCAATTCGCTGCTCTCGGACAGATGTGCAGCAGTCAGCAGGGCAGCTGCCTCCAAATGGGACGCTGCTTCTCTTTTTCGCTTTTGTGAAAAGCGCCCGTGTTCATGCTGTTTTTGAAGAATTTCCAAAGATGCTTTCTCTACTTCCAAGCACACAGATTTTTGATTCAGAAGATATTCTGGGTGCGGGGGTGGCAACAAGACCAAAGACAAATGGGTACTGTGGCCAATGCCCTGGCTACTGCTTTATCAGCATGGCTGCTTACAATTCTTGGTAATTTTAATGAGAACTGTTAAGTTAAAAACATTACTTTTTTCCCCTACAGCATGACCAGATGCAGTGCTTGCATGGAGCATTTAAAGTATCCTGAGAGGATATCTTTCTGCCAAGTTAGTAACAGCATCTTCAGTCTTCACATAACCATTCTCTATACGTTTGTATGACATTAACATAGGCAGATCAAAGTGGCCAGTCTGCAAAAATCAGAAGGAAAATGTATTGCAATTGTTACATTCCCCAAGTCATAACGTTTTTTTCTTGTTATTTTTTCTTTTACAAAAACAAGAGTTAAAAATTTTGTAGAAGAAGAATGATTAGGCTATAATAAAAATGCCAAATTTCATTCACAAAGGAAGAAATAAAGGTATGGTAAATGAATTTGCATGGTTTGCAAGAATACTACATGAAGTCCAAGAGTAGCGTCGGCCTTGCTGTCCTCTCCGATTCTCTTTCTAACCCAGTCGGAGCGCGTCGGGCGCCCGCCTCCGCCAGCACGCAGCGGCGGAGAGCTCCACCTAACGTTCGCTGGGACGGACACGCGATCCTCCCTTCGAGAGGGAGCTCCGCGACTGGGGAACAGCAAGGCTCGTGCCTACAGAAACATAAATCCAGATTTATGCCAGAGGCGCTTAAAAGGTCTGGAGAACTGTTTTGCCTGTCGTCAATACGGTCAAATGATGTCTTTACCAACAGATGTGGGTATGAGGATATGAGAGGTTTGCAGAAAATTTGTAGTTTTATGTTTGCAGCTGATACCACACAGCTACGTAACATTTCACATGAAAGCTAAATTGTGAATTCAGTTAGGCACTTTTATTTATGTAGCTATTGGCTTACTATAACATTTAGAATGAGATAAACTTGTACTAGGATGCTCTCTGTGTGTATATATGCATACAGACAGAGACATGCCTGCTGTACACTATGCTGACATACATAGACAAGTACATATGTTTAGTTCAAATCTATTCAGATGAATTAAAGATTACTTATCTCTATCCGACAGATCAGCATGCACCCTGGAAAAAGGGATTGTGGTACTATTCAGATGCAATACTGGAATCATTTTAATAGTCGAGATTTGAAATACTTCATTGCAAATATATCAGTGTTAGGTTTTATAGTCGCTGTTAGCCTGAGAATACTATCAGTGGATCGTGTTAAGTTGTCTGTTAATATTACGCTCAAGCATCAGCTGTACTCAAGATTTGTTTACATACAGTGTGATCTTTTAGGGCGAGAGGATCTGTGCACATACGAGACTCTGAAAAGGCTGGATAGGACAATATCCCCAAATTAAAATGTATCCCAAACATTGCATCTCCATTTCACAAGGACAGGTGCCCCACACCAATAGTCAAGACAATTATAAGAAGCACAGTTTAATTGATTTGGGGGGTTACATTTAGTTAATCAAGGCCTTTTAAAACCATCCCCATTGCTTAGGGCAGGGTACCTGTTACAACACATTAGATTCATCTGAGAACGTTCTTAAAAGAAGTGGTCTGACAGAAGGTCTGGCCGACAGTGAGTCACGCGCCTTCCTACTGCTCTGCAACGGTGAGGCAAAAATATTTATAGCACATGCAACACTTTAACCTGCCTAACGGTGGAACAATACGGACATACACACCTCCCTAAAGCTAACTACACTGAATCACAGGAGATGCAGCAACACACCCTCTCTAAACGTCATGATGATTAATAGGGGCTAGATTTTTCAGTAGGGTAGGCACAGGTGCTTTTCAGAAAATAGTCCTGCTTTCCAAAACCTTTAACTTAAAAAGTTTATGCTACAGGTGTTTTCAAGAGAGGATGGAATCATCCTTGATCTCCTCACAACTGTATTTTTAAAATAGTGAGCAATACCAGTGGCGTGCAGCGAAAATAAAACCACTAGGGACACATAGCTCTAGAGTGAGCCACGCTATCCCCACGGTCAGCAAGTCTCTGAGATCTTCCCTTGTGATGGCTGAGCGCAGTGGCTTGTTCATGTGCACAAAGAACTACTGTAGCTTCACAGACGTTATTTACTAGGCAGAGAAAGGCACTTGGGAAGTTCCCACTGGATGAAACAAGCTCGAGCCATTGGCCAAGTCATCCAGAGGATAATCAAAATTAAGTCCACTTTGTTCTGCATTTTAGAGATTTTTTTTTATCGCCTCATCCAATAAAACGCAGAACCACTGAGGGGACGGAGAGCATGACTAGTGGTAACAGGAGACAGATCCACGACCAGAGTATATTATGCAGTGCCGCTGATTTCCAGGAACACGCACAATCTCCCTAGCTAAGGGCCTGGTCCGAGACACAAATGCCCCCGGCTGACACCAGCGCCACTCAGGTGCTGAGCACGACGAGCTCGGCACACCGTCACGTACCAGGTCAGGAGGGCCTGAGCAGTCGGAGACAGAGGCAATGAGACGGACAAAGCACACCTAAACACAAGGTTTAAACTGAAGCGAGGTGGTGGGGAAGCAGGCTCTTGCTGGGTGAGCAAATCTAAACACAGGTTTTCAGCAGTTAGGTGTTAAAAGAAGGAAAAAGCAGTAGAGCAAGCAACACATACTGACTAAGAAAGGAAATCACCTTATTCGCTCCAAGAAAAGCTGTGATTGCTGGAGGTTTGAGAAAGCATGAAGATAGTGGATGTTCCTGAGGAAGGAAGGCGCTTCGTTACCTAGTTCACAATAGCACAAAAGACAGAAAATTGCAGTACAAGAAAGAGAAAGGCAGAAATCAAGGAAAACACGCATGCGCCTTGCCATTAAAAGCTTCTCCATGCAGAAGGTAACAGCGGCTGAGCAGACACAGCCGGTGTGCTGTGTTACTGGGAGACTCGTCCCGCAGAAGTCAAGGACGAACTCCCACTGACGGGGCCTCCGTCCCCGCTTTGGAGCCGGACGCTCGGACGCCAGCGTTTGCTTCTGAAACTCGGCTGTCCGGCTGCATGCTCAGGGACCTGAAAAAGCGCCCTAATCTGCATTTTCATTTGGACGCTCCCCTCAGGAAACCGATTTCTAATATTAAAGTTAGGACTCTCAAAAGGGGTCTCGACCTGAAATCATCTGCTTGGTCGTGGATATCTTTGGAAAAAAAAAAAATTAGGCGACTGACTTAGGTTTCTGACTACTGCCACAGACATCTAGAGTTGGTATCTGCTTCAGGCACTTTACAAAGCTGTTACTTCAAATGTATATTTAAATAAGGCTCAGCCTACGTTTAGTAGACACATATGAAGACTTTGCTAGTTGGCGCTCACTGTTGCTTTGCTAAACAACTTCACATGAGACTTCTTTAAAGTGTATAAGGGACTCCTGGAAGCAAGTATTATCTGCGGGAATGGATTTTCCGGTCGTCATCTGAAGGCACCCAGGTGAGCTGACCCGCGGCTCACTCCTGGGAAGCCCTGGTCACCCTGTCAGGGCACTTGCCTCAAACGCCCCTACAGCTGCTGCTGAGAGCAAATCACTCCCTTTCCATTCAATCAGGGGGTCAATCTAGAAGCTATTAAATAACACTTAATAGGAAGAAATAATATTTAGCCTGCCAGAATTCAATGATACTTAACTCATTGTCTGTATCCCTTTCAACTTCAATTTCTGTTTTTGCAGATGCATGTTTTACTTCAGGGATACTGTGCCAAACTTGTACTTCAGATGATATGGGGGAAAAACCTTTAAACTCTACTGGATATATATTATTTAACCAATATAATCATTATCTTTCATCCCTATGTAGAAATAAGTTATCCTAGGTGAAGAAAGTGCACTAAAACCTCACAGGCTATAAAAGCTTCAAAGGAGAAGCCTGCTTTGAACTTTACTATTTGAAAAGTAATTTACTGGTTTAACTTGACACCAACTCCTGTCCAAGCTGGGTCAGATCAACTCTGAACAGTCCTGCTGACAAAACGTGCTGGTTCAGGATACGGGTGTAGGGTACACTGCGCACTCCTATCTCTGTGCCGCCGTGCCCCAGGAGAGAGCTTCTGCTGGCGCCGGTGGAGAGTCACCGTGGCAAAAGGCACCGTTTGCAGCACACGCTGCGTGTCTGCTAGGGGAGCGGGCCAGGGCTGGCAGCGGCTCGGCAGTACGGTCCCACGTCACTTCGGCTACGGACGGCTGCATTAACAGCTGGTGCGCTACCGCGGCCGAGGAGAAAGCAAAGCTGGAGGCAAGAGCCGGGAAGCGGCTGGCAAGATGCCGCTTGCTGACCTGACGCAAAACGTGCTGACCTTGCGTGGGGAAGAAGGCTGCTGCCGGCAGGAGGCAAGGCGTACAGAGCGACCGGCCGCGGGGAGCTGGACAGGCGTACAGCAAGGGACGGGAAACTTCACAGCGCAGGACACCCTCTGCGCCACTCATGACCACAGCAGCGCCGGCATTCAGCACGCGCTGGAGCGACCAAGGAAACTTTTAGGAGATGGTTTGCATGTCTAAAACGGGCCCTCTGCCTCACCGGCTGAGAGCTGTTAAGAAGCCCAGAAAGCTTTCGAGGAGATCTAGATACAGCAGGCTAATGCCATTTCACAAGCCCTAGGTTACTAAAGGGGGGCTGGCAGATGTGACACAACCTGACTCACTTCCCTCTGCACTGGCACCTGGAGGGCATGGCCAAGGAGAACATCTTCAGTATGTTCTTTGACATAAAAAGAAGTAGCTTTAAGGACACAATATGCTGGTTTGAGGATCAATGGAGGTTGGAAAAGGGTTACTGTACTTTTTCCCTTTTTTTTTTTTTTTTAAATAAAGGAGGACAGTTTTGCATACAGTCAGAGCAATTAAGAAAAGGCACTGGTTGAATCTCTCCTTGCTACAGGTCTAGGCAATATTTTTAGATGAGCTTCTTGACGTTGCTGGCATGTGAAAGAGCAAGACGAGACTCTAGAAAGCCTTCCTCAAGATGAGAATGCTACACAGTACCATTACAAGTTCATCTGAGGTTTGAGAGAGACTTTTGCAAAAACGCTGTGCAGTATATTATCTTGTTCCTTACCTGATGTTTTTTCTTTTTTATATTTTTGAAAACTATTAGAAGAATTTCTGGGAAAAGGCTGATAAAGATCAGGAGAATTATTGCCAGCCATGTGGAAACGGAAGTCAGCATATGGGCAAATACAAAATACATTCTTTGCTGCTTCAAGAAAGGCCTGAAATAGAAAGGATACAAACAAATTCTGGTTAACATGATCAGCTGCACAAGTTTTTCAGCTAGGTCATATTCAAAGGAAGATTCAGATCAAACCACCAGCAGTACAACCTCCCTTTGAAATGCAGGCAGGTACAATCGGTGCAGAAACACTGTCCATTTTTCTGCCAAACTTGCATCTTCTCCTTTCAACTGCTCTAATTCTTGAGGGCTGTCTCAACCTCCCAAGTCTCCTTTGGTATTTTTCCCCTCTCAGCACAGGCCTCTTCCTGCCATTTCTCAGCCCAGGCACTGTTTGATGCGTGTTTCTCCAACCCCTGGTTCGGGCCTCCTGAGTGCCACACCAGCATCCTTGGCCGCCCCTGCTTTTCTCTTACCTTCATCCAAATGCTTCACGTTTTCAAGGCCCTTCTCAACACAATGAGCTGCCTTCATCTGAGTTTCCAAGGCCACCGCTCCCGCTCCTCCCTCCTTCCGCAGCTGTTTCACTCTCTTGCAACACTTCCTTCCATACTTCTAGTGCTCACTTTTTCTACAGCTCCCTCCTCCTCCTTCCTTCTCCTTCTGCTTGATCAGCTTAAATATGCATTTACTCTTGCAGCATCAAGTGACCCAAGACTTGAGTCAGACTCAAGTCACAGTTCAGTTCACCACACAGTGGGTCTGTTACCCCTGATCTCTCCAGCGGGAAAAGGAACATGAAGTCAAGTGCTTGCTATGATCTGGAGAAAAGCTAACCTCAGAGCAAGCAGATGCTGGTGAAGGGCCTTTCCTAGCTGTCCAGGAACTCTAGGTTCTCTAAGAATAGACTCTCTAATTATTCTCTAAGAATAATTAATCCCGAATCTTTTCCAAATTGATTTCAGAAAGCAGAGACAACTGCATTTGAGATCTGCAGGTTTTCATCTCATTTTGTAAAAGCCACGTGCATTTGCAAAGCATGTCTCTTTTTGCTATTATTGATAACAGCACAGTTACTTTTCTAAATGGCAACAGCTGGGAAGTAACTTGACTCTTCAAACAGTCACAGTCTTCAGCATATCTGTATGTTTCCTACTATCACCTTCCATGTTTGCTTCATTTTAGGGGGAGAAGGGATTGGAACAAACGCTTAGCAAGTGCCCAAGCCACTTCTGAAAGAGGGATTTCTATAAATCAGATGCACAAGGCTTAAGAGCCTATTAAGAAAATGAAACCTGGGTGTTGTGGAAAATTTTAGCTTGGGTCTTAGTTGAGACAAAGCACCACCTTTGGTGCTTTGAAGGCGTGCAAGCATTTCTCCCTCTTCCCAAATGTCCAAATGTCAGAAATGGGGGACTTGGCTAAAGCTTTGGATTTGCTTTTGATGGTGGTAATCCAGAGACACGAGGTCCCAATAGTTTATCAGCATCTTTTTCCCTCCCTTGATGACAGAAGGGAACTGAGAGATACTTGGGAAAAATGCCTCATAAATAAATGATGACAAGGATTATAAAGCATTTTGCTGTTTAGCATTAGCTTAAAATATCACACTATGTAAATTAAACACTCCAGTGGAAAACTCGCACATTTCAGCAGAAAGAAAAGAGCTGGCTAAATTTCAGATCCAAATCTGTTTGTTATGAACTCTGGAGAGTTAAACAAAGCCTGTGACCCCAAATTAAGATATTTAAATCAGCTCCTCTACTTTATTAGCAGGCTGCTGGGTTAAGCATCTACCCAATGACTCACGGCACTAGCCCAAGCAAAAATAAGAGAGTGAAACAGGAGATGCTGTCTACTATGAAAGCGAGTATGAATGCCTGCTCTAGCACATGAAACAGAAAGCTGGCTAATAGTTGTAATTTACCGTGCTTTCCCGTCTTTGCCAGCCATTCCACCTAAAATCCTGGTCACATTGAAATCCATGAGGGTTTTTTCCACCTTCTTAGAGCCAGACTTTCAGCAGCAGCATCTTTGCTTCACCCTGCTCGTTTCTGCCGTAGCACAGTGCCAGGTCCTTGCAGCTCAGCATCTGCCTCGCTTGTTCTCTGCCCTTCCATATTGCCGCCTTTCTCCCCAACATCATGTTCTCCTTTCTTTCCCATCCACACACACATCCACAGAGACCATGAAATATTTATACTGGAACCTCCCAATGAAGACAACAGCCCCGGCACCAGAAACGGCCCCTCTGGGCACAATACAAGCCACCTCTCACCCAAAAGCCAGCGCGCCACCTCCCACCCAAAACCCAACACCTAGATCGCAGCCTGGGTGCCAGGCGCGGCAGGCTCCCTTCGGCAGGTCTCCGCTCCTGGGACAGATCTCATTCCGCACCAGCCCTCTTCCAGCACTACCTCTTAGTGGGTGTCGCATGCAGAGATAACCCTTTTTCTTGCCCGCTTCCCCTCACTTTGCCAACATCTTTCTCCTTTCCAGTGAGAAAACCCATCATGTGAGCACTGAAACCCAAAAAACCCCACGTTACCTGCCACCATTTCACACGGCAGACTAACACACGCTTACCGTGGTTGCAGACACCCTGCCCTCCGTAATCTTTGCATAGCCCAAATAAGGGGACGCTGCAATCGCATCCTCTGCGATGAGAGTGCTGCACGTTCCCCTGTGAAAGCACCACTGAAAGCAGAAAGATACTTGCCAAATGACTCCTCCCCAAAAGAACGAGAAGAACACATAGAAGGCCAGGGAGCCCCAAATCACAAAGTGGTTCATCCACGTCCAGAATCGAGTATCTAATGCTAGCTGTGCAAATAAAAATAAATAAATGGAAAAGGCATTAGGAGCAAAGTATAGTCACTTGTATTTATGTGAAATTTCTGACTGCTTTCACAGCAAAGTTGAAGCATCCCACGTCATATACTCAGCACAGGGACAAGAGGGAAAACATCTTCAATGTCTACAAGCTGGCACAGTATCGACAAGGAAACAGAGTTCCTAATTGCAACTGACACTTTTTAATAGAATAAAGCTTGATGCACCCTCTGATGCTACAGAAAAAACACATCTAAAGGTTAAGGTGATTGTAATTGCCTTCTGTCACCACCTGCTGTCCTGAACTCAACATAAAAGACCCTTTTGTAAGGTCTTATGCAAACTGTCCATTCTGGAAAGCTCCATGAAACAAAGCAGATTTGCCAGTTGTATTGACAGAAGCACTTTCAGGCTGCTTAGCAATGGCTAAACTAAGGCAGATAAACCCAACTATTCTATTGTACCTTTCATCTCTCCTGAACTGAAAGCCAAGGGGGAAAAATGGGAAGTAGGGGAAGGGGGGAAAGAGAGAGAGAGAGAGCGAGAGAGAGATAAGTTGAAAGAAAAAAGTGAAAGACAATTGAATCCAACTGGAGTTCTCTGAAGGGGGCAAAAAACAAGAGGAAAATTTACCAAAACAGAAATGCATACATACAAACACAGATCATAAGCTAAAAAAGGACAGCAGTCAATAAACTGTTTGGAAAGTTCTGCCTATATGCAAGAACAGATGATTTGGGGGAAAAAAAGTATGAATACAAGCTATCTTCAATATATTACAGCATTTTATACCACAGCGCGCACACACGCATGGAGAGAGGGCTGCAAAGATGAATAACTGAAAAAGGAAGGAGAAGTCTAACCTTCAGCGTGACGGTGAACACCAACACGGTGAAAACAATAGTTCCAAAGGTCCAATTTCCGAAAACCTGAAAAACATTTCACATTCCCACATGCATCTCTGTCCACGTGGCTTGAAAGAAACAGTAAAAATGACGGAAACGAGGCAAGCAGGAACTAGAGGGGGCACGACTCAATGGAGAGTGACTGCCGCTCTGGACTCAAGCACCCGGACACGTACCAGACGCTCTCGCACAACCAGCTCCCTTGCACTAACCCTGTGCCATGCAGGACCACACAAACAATTAATCCAGTGTTGTGACAGTGACAAATACAATCTCCTACTAACAGCAATGTTGATCAAGAATGCAAGTCGTTTGGACCACCTATTTAATGATTTCTTGGTAATTTACTCAGTTTCTGCTTTCTCATAGCACAAAACCATCAGAGCCCCTGTATGTATCATCGTGTTTTATTCCCATTTGCAGAACGTACCAATGGGCTTTTTTTCATACTAGAATATACTGTTTTGGTTTGCAGATACTAGTGACTATGCACAACAAAGAAAAGCAGATACTGTATATAAATCCAAATGATGGCAATGAATGGGACAGATGCTTACCAAAGGCTGTCAAGATCTGAATGCATACATTAAAACAGAAAATGAAATGTAAAAGTTTAAAAAATGCAAAAAAATTAAAGTCAATAGGAGCGAAAAAGGATTCAAAAGGATTCAATCAAACATGGATACTGTGAACAATTGCTGGTAGCAGGTTTTTTTTTTTTTTTTTTCTATTTTACAGGCAGTAGTGTTTACAAAACAGGACATAACCACATATCTTATTTCAGTGTCACGTAGACTTGACCTCTCAAGGCCTTTGCAGAAGGTATCAGTGACCAAATGTTTTATTCAAATACAGCCAAAAGGGCTGTAAATACAGAAAGGCCCTGCAACTGCAATACTGGCCTCGACTGCATATAGCTGAGGCCATAAATGTTGGCGTTTATGCAAGATAACGCATTTACACACAAAAATTTCATGAGATTTTCTCCAAATATTATCCCTCTAAAAAAGCTAGGGTATTTTCGCGGGTCACAAGTGATCGTGTAAAGAAGTTACTGCCTCAGCTGAGACCTGACGAGGTGCCGTGCGCTCACGGGAGGAGGCTTCCCAGGGCAACCCGGCCGCGCTCCCCGGCGTGATCCTGGGTACTGACCCTGGCGCTCCTAATCCACCCCGTTAGCCAGCCAAAAAGTTATTTATTTACATATTCGTCTCCAGGGGGATTAACTGGGACCCGCTCCCCACCGCGCTCAGGCGGCCGGGCAAACGCTTGCCGCGACGCGAGGCACCAACAAGCAGGCAGCAGGGCTGCGGGGAGAAGAACAGCCGGCTTGTTTTTGGCAGTGGTGCTAACTTACGCTGGCGTAAAACGACAGCAAAACTGCAGCGCCAGGGAAAAGGACAGTTTCAGTCACTGGCAAACATGTGCCCCATCTTCCCGGGCAGCTTCCTCACGGGTAGGAAGGAGCGACGCCGGCAGGTCTCGCCCTCCCCTGGCCAGCGCCTGGAGCCACGCCGCGAAGGGCAAGAGCTGCGTGCAACGCTCAGAGGCAGCGCCAGGTTCGAAAAAAAAGCTGTTTGTAAGGCTAGTTATTTTACCTAGAGAGCGTAACCATCTCTACCCTGTTTCCATGGCGATACGGAAGCCGTTCTGTTTTCGGCTTTTGCTACAGAATCACCCCGTAAGCGATGCGACGCCATCGGACAAGACTAGACACAGCGCACAGATCAAGCGTATAGATATTCACTGCAAGGCATAGAGAAAAGGCAGGGCACAGGAGAAACACTCATCTTTCTCTTTTCTTTTTTGTTGTTGTTACCTTTCCATTATCTTCCAATGACGAATTTTGAAAAAGAAAATAAACCCCAAAGAAAAACACGAGTCCTTCAAAGGCGCCCAGAAAGGTCCAGTACAAGAAAGGCTTCCATTGCAACATTGCATTATCAGAAACTTTCCTGTCAAGAGATGGAGTAACAAGAAAAATCACTGTCACTTTTAGGACCTGCTGCAAAGCCCACTGCAGCCAGTTTCAGCGGGCTTTGGCGCAGGCCCTTGCTTCAGGGGACACGGAGCGAGAACATGCACATTTCTGGCAGCGTACAGAGCACAGACAACATTTGCTATCTATACGTTTGTATATATAAAAGTGCTGGTCATAAGGGAGCGTAAGAGAATTGACAAGTTAATCTGTTTGTCCCTCACCTCTAGACAAGTCAGATCAAAACCCAACCTGGTCCAACTGCTGAATTTTAATATGGGGCAATGATACAGAAAAAAATTTGATATGAAGCAAGGAGTCTGTGGCACTCTGCTGAGCACGCAAACTCACCCTTGGAGAAAGCTCTGCAAGTCCAGGTCTTGGAACTGGTGTTTTCCTGCACAGGCTGGAAATAACCTACTGAAGCAGGTGGCACATGTTTTAACAAGGGGCTTTAGCGGAGGGTTTTTGGGTGAACGCAGGAATAAGATCTAGCATTTCGGCAGCAGCTGCAGATTGATGTGATATTTACAGTGCTCTGCAGGGACCTCATAAAAAGCACCAGTAAAATAAGTGATGCTGCCACTGCAGAAATGAATGCCCTCTGCTGGGCTAGCAAAGCTGCAAGAGCCAAGTCCGAAAAATCCTAAAGTTACTTCCAGTTCTTCTGGTCCTTTCTGCAGGACCCCAACATTACAGCTGCCTGCCGGAAAAAATACGTGGGCTACAGGGACGCACGGCTCTGACCGTGCCTGAAAAGCCACAAGCATAACACAGTGGCTAGATACAAAAAGGGAATACTGTGCCAGAAGTCTTTCCCTAAAAAAACTTTCAAAACCATTTCCAGTTTTTAGAAGAATAATTTCTCCTACATCAGTATCTTTTCGGGTTATCTTGCTTAAAATGTGAATATTAACAGGGGAGAAAAAGCACATTTATGACAAGAACAAAAATCTCCGTTCTTCTGTCATCTTTCTTCCTAATTATTTAAGCGATATATTAATTTTCAGCATATAGCATCTTGCAAACAGGTGTAACGCTAGAGTCCTATAATTTTAGTTTCTAAAACAAAACTCTACTGAATCTTATTTAGGATGTTGCAGTGACAATAGTCTAACATACTGTAATTTGGAAATGAGCAGGAAACATGGATAAAACAGATTGTAAGAGGGTTTTTTTTTTTGCTGTGAGAAAAGACGCAAAGAACTTTCTCACTGCAGGCTCTGCTTTGCATTCTCGTTTATGTCCTGCAGCATTTGTCAAACAGGCTTTTTTACAGTGCCTCAGACTAGAGATCTGCACTGCAGCAACTCAGCACTTTCTACAGCAGAGGCGCAGCAGTCGTTGTGTATTCAGCAGCACATGCAGAGTCACGAATATTCAAACTGAAGCTATCTGGCAGCACAATTAGTCTGTTTGCCCTCAATTCCCATATCCCTGCGATCAGATAGCCCACCAGTCCGGTGAACGCAGTGGCTTATTATTGGTATTTGCTGCACAAAATTCAATTACAACTTATTTAAAAACACATGCAATGGCGTTTTGCCATATGAGTGGAAGAATGCAGAAGTCCGACCTACGTATCTGAGCACTTATTTCAAAAGCGCACACAACTCTGCAGTCTTAAAGCCCTTGTAGCAGTTGCTGTTTTTTCTGTACCTATGGCAACTTTCACATGACACCTTAAGGTACCTGAAAACTTCCTTGTGGTACCTGCCTCAAAGACATAGCCGCTGGCTTGAGCGCGTCACTGCCACACAACGCGCACGCTTCCTCCACAACTGAGGCTGCACCGTGGGGTTTGTGCAGGGCGCTGCTCAGAAGAGTCCTGACCTTGTACTCTCTAAATGGGGATGACCTGCTGCCCAAGTTTGCTGCTAGACCAGGGTGGTGAGGAAAAAGCACCTCTTGCTCCCAGCTAAAGGGCTGCACCCTAGCCTGCGTGCACGGGCAGGGCTGGGGAGGGAGATGCAATGCATCTGGTTTTCTGTGAGAAGCTGGGACCTCCCACAGTTGCAACCAAGCAAGGAAAAAAATACTTTGCTAGCAAAGATGAAGGAGTCTCCTGTCAAAGAGTGTTTTCCATGGGCAATGCAGCAGAAAGCCTTGTGCAAGGTGAGGAGCAGAGTTCTTAGGCAACATGCTCCAAAATGGGTATTTAGCCTTGGGAAGAGAAGCCTGTGGGAAGATAACAGTTTAGACCAGCTGAGAAGCTGCTGGCCTGAGCTGAACCTCAGGAACATTTGCCTGTTTGTAAATTAATGGATCTTTTCTCTCCTGAAAACCAGATGCTGCCTCCAGGCATTACACGCTCTGCCATGTGCTTCCGTTGCACCGCTGCGCTCAAACACCTGGGCAAGTCACCTTTGCGGCTTTCCCTTTCTTAGGGGTGGAGAAGTTCACCCACAATGTACTTTTTTATACTGACACTGCAGTGAAATTTGCTAGACCAGGCAGTTAGAGAGCTATCGGACATCCCAACGCTCAGCTCTACCGCAACAGCAGTGGGACAGAAACAGCTTTTCCTGCAGTTTGCTGCTGCCACTTCACCGGCGTGGGACAGGTACATCTGCTCAAACGATACCCGCCGAGTCACTTCCTCCACTAACAGGACTTAAGCCACAGCTAACAAAGTTGTGCCGAGGGCTTACCGAATCCTTCGGTACTTACATATACAACTGTGGATCTGAGGTCAGTGTGTCAATGCTGATATGCTGCTCCAGGAGGCTATAAGCCAAGATAGGTAGTGATGTGAAGCAGATGTTGTACATGGTAAGATAAGCAGCATCGTACAGCGGCTTAAAAGAGGAAGAATGGGTAAAATAAGATAGAAATTCTGCTTTAAGAATCCCCTCCATAAACAGACTAACGGTCTCCAACTCTCGCCTCTGCAAATACACTAAAGATTCAACTCCTTCTCATAGCCATAAACAACTGTTTCATTTGATGCAGCTCATGCCCCATGCGATGCCACCGGGGTCGAGGTATCTAGGGGTCTTGCAGGCTGCCACCGCATGGCTGAGATCCCCGTCCTCCCCCTGCTCCCACCAAAGGCAGCAGCCACGTTTCCAGGAAGTTTTGTAACTGAACGGTCTGGTCTCCAGCTCATTCCCCAGAAAAACGATTAAACGACAGTTATCACAGCTATTCTAAAGCTGCTCTCGTGCTGCTGCTTCTATTAATATACTTGATGTCTCCTGTGAATCTCTAAGGACTATACTGTTTTGGAGGAACAATGACTTTTTTTAAGCAAGCAGCTCTGAGACAGCAGAGAATAATTATTTAATGACTTACTCCTCCTCCCAGTTGCTTCTGGGGCCAAATAGACACAAAGCACAAGTGAACCCCAAACCCCACAGTTATCGTCTCAGAGCGCTTTAGCCAATTTATCCCCACCAGTTACAAAGATCCGTCCTTTTAACACTCACCTGGACTAAGCTAAATACCCAGTTCCTCTCATCACGTGTCTTATTTTAAAGGCTGTTATAAAACAATAGTCTGTTCTTCCCTCTGAGAGGCATCTTTAGTATAGGGAAAGCCAGCAGAGAAGAGAAGACCAGGAAGTCTTTGAAAAATAATTCTCTTGGGAGGAGTAGAGGAAGCAAAATTAGGTGCTAACAAACCTACTAAAACATCCTCTTGTGCCAGGAGGTGTCTGTCCGTGTTGAAGCAACAGAGGGGTGGTAGAAGGGAAAGGACAGAAAGTTCGATTTAATTACTTTTAGTTACAGGCCCCCAAAATACTATGCTCTAAAGTATGTCGCTTGGCAACTAGGTCAATTCCTACTGTCATCTAAAAGCAGGTGAGGAAGGCACAGGATGCCAAAAGTCAAGCCTTTACTAGGACGCCCGATTCTATGGCTTTTTATCCTGCCTTTATAGATGCGTTACTGGGAATTACCTGCTGTGAGAATCCACAGAAGAACTGGTATAAAAACTGCGGTAATATGAAGCAGAGGTTCTAGAGAAACGAGAGAGAAACGTTAGCAGGGAAGCGTCCATGTGTTCACCATTTGACTTCTCAATCTAAATAACTTTTCCTATGATAACCCTTCTTCTCAGTAGTGTTTTCTTCCAAGCATAAAACTAATCCAATGAGCTTTTAGTATTTGCAGAAGACACTGAAAACAGTCATACATTCACATTCTGCTGTAAGCATCATTTTCAATCAAAAGGCATAGAGAGATACCCCTGTTCTCTTATAAAGGTAAAGAGATCTAGAACATATCCTATAAAACAATACTTTTCTTATATTATTAAAGGAGTCCACAGTGTAAATAGTGGAATAAGCTGAACATACACCTTACCTTATAGAAGAAATACTGAACAAGGTGTGCTATTCTTACATAATATAAATGCCCATGTGCGAGTAGCAATTTTCTTAAGTGTTTAAACTTTGGAACAGCGTAATCACTATTTCTTGAAGCCTGCCGTCCTTCTTTGCCTTTTATACCTGGAGACAGAAACACGGCAAGGGATTAATCTGTAAGGGACAAGAATTTGGACTGAGGCTTCCCATTAGGTTTGTTCACAGAACTCGGTAATTTCAAGCCATGACAAAGTCCATATGTTCTCCTGAGTCTTTGAGCCTGTGACATCTCAAACATACCCACAACATAGGCCACCTTGCACGCCCGCCCAAGGCGCCTCGGGGACCGCATTTGAGTGCTCCAGCTCTGTGACAATCAGACCTCAATTCAGAGTTTTTAATCTGTATTTAAGTTACTGAGTTCCTATCTAGGAGGATGTGGTGAAGAGCATCTAAGAAAACCTGACGAAAGACAAGGAATTGTTTCCCCCACATGCTGCCCTGCATCTTACCCGGTCTAGTTATTTCACTCCAGATGCTCAAACTCCTGAGATATCCCCTCAGAGCCAAGCTCGGGAAAGCCAGTTTCGTTGTTCACTCAGTAAGCGTATCCACAAGCATTACAACGGAATTCTATTCGCTAGAGGGTAATACGACATTTCTAACAGTCAAAGATAAGCAGGTTGTCCTTTCCCTTCCATCTACCCTTCTTCAGTGGTAATAAAGATCTCTAACACTTCCAGTACTTCTGAAAGCACTATCTGCAGAAGCTAAGACAGTTTCCATTCTGTTGTCAATCATACAAATGGAGCAAAAAACAGCAGAATCGAGCATCAGCCCTTGAAAAACAAGTTGGCTCCCCAGTGTTGAATTACTAGCAGCTGTGATCAGCATTGCAGTGCTTTCGCAGACATCCAGGGAAAGGACAAAGGCCAGTTTCAGCTTAGCTGAGATAAACAGGTACAATCCCAATGAAATGCTCAGCACTACATTTAATAGGAAATTTAAAAGTGAGAGATTTCAGTTAAGCTAGTGCCAACCCTGTTCCCATCGAGAACAGTAGAAAAAACCAATTGATTTTACCGCAGGGTATGAAAGAGGTGTAAAAAGCAGAAGATGCAAGACTGGACAAGTTTTTGTTTTTTGTTTTTAGGGTTTTTTTGGTTTCTGTTTTTAAACTTTACTTGCTACAAGTTACCACAATAAAATCTGACATCTTAACCGCATTGCAGTTACAACTGTCATTTGTTATACATCAGTTTGCTACTCATGCCTTTTTTCTGACCTGTAAGCTACCGTTACAACCTTGAATTTGGCAATACAATTTTTGAGCACAATATCCAGTTTACCACAGATAAAGTGCATGTTACTATCACAAAGGACAGCAGCATACCATGATCCCAAGCATTTATTCAGAGTGAAACCCTGGCTCCAATGAAGGCAACAGCAGACATCTCATTTTCAGTAGGATCAGTTTAACAATCTGCAGTCAAAAACGCTGCCTGTGCCTCAACAGTGAGGCCCTGCAAAGTCGATGGACTCTGCACAAGTTTTACATATCCGATTAGGTATTGTCAGCAATCTCACCTATTCCAACATGCGCTTCCAAAATCATACTAACATCATTTGCACCATCCCCTACTGATAGTGTTATTGGGCTCCCTTTTGTGTTCTTCACCATTCGCACAATCTAAAAAATTAAATGCAAAAAGGAAATTAGCAAAGCCAAAGACCTTGTTAAAACACTCCAGAGATCCCTACCGCCCCACTTTCAGGAGCACTTCAGAACAGGACAGTATTTAAAAAACAAGTCACAGAGCAGCTGATATCCTCCCCTTCCCTTTTGCCCCATCTGCTCTCCTACAAAGATGTGACCTCTCATGCATTTCACCCAGCAGTAAACTGTACCGTGGAGTGGGGCTAATACCACTGTTTATCAGGCTTTTGAGACTATCAGCTGTCACAGAGAAGTCAGGGACTCCACTTTCCAACTTTGGAAAGGAATTCAAAGAACAAACTGTTTTTTGTTTGTTTAACTGGCTTGTGCTTGCGGTTTCCTGCAAGCGTATTTAGCAAAGGTTTTGTGTTCTTCTGTGAAAGACTGGTGTGTTTCCATCCCACTTTGAAGTTTGGAAGAGACTTATACATAGCCTAGAGGCGTCCCTGATGATTAGGATGAGTAAAGTTTGTTTAATGAAATGCTGCAGGAAACAGCCTCAAACTGTTATTTGGAAATAACCACAGATTATATCTAAAGGCTACTTTCTAACAACATATCTCTAATGAAAGAAAAGGAGTACTTGGTTTTAACACTTGTGGAAGGTTTGTTGCTACCTAGACATTTTTCAAACTTGCATCATTTTCCTGTTATTTAACTCAAGACTGCTATAGCTGTTTCATTTTATATTACTAAACTGGAGTGCCATTTGCATTACTTCCTGCTTCCTGTGGAATAATTAGCCACTTCCACAAAGCAATCTTCAGAAGTCTTTTTCTCAACTTTTGACATCTACTGCCCAGTGCAGCAACGTGAATGTGGGCAGCCCTCTCATGGGAGAGAAGAGCACAAACCTGAACTGATTTGCCAATAGGTTTTTCAGTACCACCTGGTGAAAAAGAAAGCAAATGAACTTTATATTAGATTCCTCATTACAGATTTTAAAGCCCACTTTACAGACCAGGTCACACGCTCCACCCTGTGGGCTCTAAGGGTGTTCTATTGCCTCATGAAATGCTTCACAGAGACGATCCCAGGCAGTAAAGATTAGCTACGCACAAATGAGAAATCGGTGAAGGACACAGTACATACCTGCGCTTTCTGCAAAGGAGCCATCCGACAGCACAGAACTGCAGTACACTTCAAGCAGATTTGCAGAAATATATTTTTGTAATTACTAGAACCGCAGTCCTGAGAAGGATTGAGTATTAGTGACAGCGTTGAGCCATCTATAATCAGGCCATATTCCTGACTGAATGTCCAGCTTCTGGGACATAAGGAATAGAAAGAAAAAGAGTTACATTTTAAGAAGTCAATCTAGCCATTTGTGCCATCTTAGCCCAAAAGAAATTACTTCCGCATTAAGCTTTTCCCCCCTCACCCCTCTTTGGGGCTTAGCAATCTTAAAAAGCTTGCATTTAACACGTGGGGACTTCACTAAGGCAGTTATATAATTGAGTTCAAAACAAGCTAGTACTAGAGATAACGAACGAAGGAAAGGAGCCAGCAGCAACGTAAGTAGCAAGTGCCCAGCATTACAACACGGTGGTATTTCTCTATCAAGCTTGCATCGGCATCCCACGCTATTATCCAAATTTATCATTTAACCTTTTCAGGCCTCCCCGATTTTTGGGAAAGTCTTGAATCAGCTTTTTATGATATTCCATTAGTAGCTCATGGAGCCGATCCTCCTTCCTTTCGCTCTCGCCCACTGTGCTTGCAGTGAGCTCCAGCAGCTCGGTGCTGGTCTGGAAGAGCCTGCAGGCATAGCAGGTGGATTTAGCCGTTTCCATCTTGTCTCCAGTCAGCACCCACACCTTCATGCCGGCTGCGTGCAGAGCTTCAATCGTCTCTGCTGACTGTTCCTGCAGTCTAAAAACAGAAGCAAAACATCACTTCTCACACTGGGAGCTCCCGAGCGACTCCACACACTGTTGTGTGCGGAAGCGACCCCGGAGCCCACCGTGCCGAGGGAGCCGAGCCTCGCTCACAGCCCCCAGAGCCAAAGCGTCATCAGGCATCAAGTATTTGTACGGCGTCACAAAGTTGGTCTCAGACCCTTTACAGGGGCAGTCACAGACTCTAACCACTATTCGTATCCCAGCTACTAGATAAGGAGAAGCTGTAATTAGCAAGCGTCACTGATGAACCATGAGCATTTAATGCTTGCTGCTATACTAGCTCTCGGACTGACTTGACACCTACAGCTAGCATACACCTCAGCATATATAAGCACCAATGAAAAATATCTTATTTTCCACCCTACTGGAAAGGAGCAAAACAAGATTAAAGCAGCTTTAGACTATACGTAAAGTGAAAGAGTCTGATGGCAGAATAAATGAGACCTTCAGGGAAGACTGTAGAATTCTTCCCAGGAAGCCCCTACAGCAGGGACCTCAGAAATACATTGCTGAGACAGAGCACCTTATGGGTGTAAAGAGGCTTAACCGACACTGCCGTTTAAGTCTTACAACTCCCTAAAGTATGTTTATTTTACAGGTAGAGAAAATAAGATAGAGAAATTAATTGATTGTCCCCTGGCCAGAGAGACTATGACCATAAGAATAAGGCTTAGAACTCTGAACAATCCCCAATTTTTATGTTAAGCCAAAATCACTACCGTATACTGCAGGACCTAAGAGTCAGAAGTAATAGTAACTGCATGTGTAGATTAAGCTCTCACTGTACATGAAATTGAATTAGTGTTGATATGCAAATTAGCACTGCATGCTTAATTCACTTCCTAGAAGCGTAAGTACTTCTGCAGTTTCTTTAATAAATCCTCATTCCTGCGCTAGCCACTTTTAGCTACTAGGTACTATGTAACGGGCTGTGCCACAGAGTAATTGCCCTGGATATTTTCCATGTCAAGACACTGCAATGACTGCTTTGCTGCTTCATTTCTTGCAGACTGTTCTGGGTTTCGTCATTCCTTTTTTCCCTCCCACTTCTCCCACACTATCTCATAATCATGCCTAAGGCGATTCCAGGCAGCTCATGAGATTTGCTACAGCTTGCACTAGCGCATACGGATCCACCCCAGCAAGTGAGGGCCACAACGCAAAGTCAGAGAAGCTGTGTCCTCTACAGCGCCTGGTGTGCGTGTCAGTCATGCTTTTACCTGTCTTCTACAGCAGTAGCCCCAATCAGGTGCATGTCTGCTTCTGTGTCTTCAAAAACCTTTGCCATCTTTTCTTCTCTGTCCTGCAGAGCCATCTTAGCTTCATTAAGTTGCCTGTCAATTTTGTCATACTCCTTTTGAGTCAGCTCTTTGAATGCCACACAAAGCGTTCGATACCCATCCTTATAGGGGGAGGGAGAGAGAAAAAGCAGAGAAGCGCTTTAAAACCACGTTTTACACAGCTCCCGACATTAGGGTTAGTACTTTCTCCTCACTGTTAGTACTTTCTGTCAGCATTGACCCTGACAGCAGTGACAATCTGTTGGCTTAAGTTTCTTTGGCGCTAGTTTCTCTACGTCTCTACAGCCACTTTTTCACATCAGAATAATCCCGGGCATGCCGTTTCACACACGTGCATGTAATAGCACGTGTTCTGAAGACAGAAGGACCAGAGCAGATAGCATGCACCCAGAAGGGACAGTTTGGACCAAGTGTCCCCACAACTGGATTCAAGCACAGGACACCTCCCTAGCACACAGCCACGGCTGTGAGACCCCTCCTAGGAAAATACTTCTCTTCCACCTTCACGTGCAAAACAACTATAAACTGATTGAAAGATTTCTCTCACCAGAGGAAAGATTGTTATTGTTGCTTCTATTTTTAATTCACTTGGGAGATGCCTGGACACAACCGCGATCAAGACCATATAAGTATATCAAAAATCAAATAAATGTGGAAGCCAAAGATACAAAAAAGGAAAGAGGTCTGGCTTCAAAACAATAAAAAGTGACACTCGCATTTTCAATACTTTCCTCCAAAGTAAGGTCACATCCCTATTTTTGGAATAAGGCTTTCCTGCCCCAGGAGCCAGCCAAATTCCATCTACGTTCTTACCATAGCATTGCGGTCTACGTGGACTTTAGTTTGTTGAATTTCTTCTTGTTGCACTCTTGGAAAAATAGAGGAGTCTGCTCCTTTACAGAAGAGAAGCAACTTCCCTAAAACAAAGTTATAAATAGTTTATAGCATTCAAAGCCTGTAAAAAATACTTAACAGACATTGGCTTCAGTATCTAGCAAATGATGCAGAGGAAGAAATCTGGCAGAACTACAGTAAGAACTGCTAGAAGCAGAGTTGCCTATTGAAAGATGTCTGACAATAACCTGACAAAAACCTTGTTTGACTTTAATACCTTGAGCTGGAATATCAGAGGTCAGTATCTGCCTCTGAGTAAGCTTTCGGCAAAAGGCTGGACAAAGCATTCTGTTTTCCTACGTTAAAGCCCTAGCAACTTTTCGGGAGTGCAGGGTAAAACTGCAGCGTTCCCTACTTTAGGGAACTGAAATTGGAGATGGATGGTTACCTCAAAACTATGATTATTATTATTATTTTTTGCTACTGCCATTCCCACTCAGGGCAACGGTCTCAGATCTCCTCTCGGTTCTCCCCCGTGGTTGTACGCCAGGCTGGAACATGGCAGGCGGAAGCAGGGCATTCTCCACAGGTCACTGTCCCCATCCCTCCCTTATCTGCTGGTGGCGCACGGCAGCATGAAGGAGGAAGCTCACCAGTTTAAACGCGGAGAAGACAAAAGATGGGACCGCAAGGAAGAGGAGCGAACCAGGAGAGGGCCTGAGGAGCAGACAGCCTGGGACTTGGCACAGGCAGCATTTGCTGGGCACAGGGTGTACGTGCAGCCAGTTACCAGCTGATGTGTATTAACTGGCTGCCTTTGGTATCCTCTGCTGGCTCAGAGCCTTCACCCACTAAGTTAACTTAATAGGCCTAGAAAATCTTCAGCTTAGCTTCGCTGTATTACAGTGTGTGGCACCGCACACGTTCAGTATGAGAATAAAGCAAACTTATATTTGTGCGTTTGTGCACACCTAGCGGGGAGACCAGAAATGAGCGTTAACTGTACCTGTGGTGGTTTTCACAATGACACTCATACGACGACGGACAGGATCAAAGTTCAATACATGGAGAAGCTGGTACCTTTCAAGAAACAAGAAAGGATTGAGCTTAGACTTCGCAGAAGAAAAATAACTATTTAAGATAGAAAAATCACTTCACGATCTGCAGAAATCTATAAACTCTACAAATCACAGCACCCACTTGGTGATGTACTTGTTAAAGCTACTGAACAGATCATAACTACAACTCACTCACATGCTGCAACTGAACAGCTCCCAAAGCCAGCACTGAGGGCTCAGGAGGAAAATGGAGCAGAAAAGCCCTGAAGATAGGGCTGAGGGTATGGACACGCAAGAGAACTACCACAAGGCAAAGCTTTGGATTTACAGGGCTGGCCGCAGGTCAGGGACCCCACGCGCGATACTCTGTCCGGGACGGGGGCTGCTCAGCCTCAGAGCTGGGTGGGAATGAGGAGCTGCCCCAGCACTTCCCGGGCCAAGGTCCCGGGGGGCCACCGTGCCACCAGGCACAGGCGCAGCTCAGCAGGCTGGCAGGGCACCGCACGCTGCACGTGCGGACATTAGCTCTTGCATTTAAATAAGAAATCTGAACATAAGCCAATCCCTGAATCCAGGGAGCTATCTGGACAGTCAGATACTGAGGAAGGATACACAGACACTCAAGGGACCTGAATTTAGCCTTCACTAGAATTGTCTGCAGATTTTCGCAAGCAAGTCTTTTAGCCTTTTTCTTTGCCGCCTTGCAATTTGTACAAAGAATGAGTTTTTGTGCAGGTCAGTAACTGGTCTGACAAACCCTGCTGAACAGCATTGACTGTCTCATTTATCACATGGCCTGAATTTACTCAAAGCGTGTGAGAGCCAGTGCTGGGCAGAGTTCATTCAACTATTATGAGCAATATTCTTTGCCAGGCTTCCATGGCACTTACATTTCAGTTTCATTCTTTTGGTTTTGTATTTTCATGAAATCGTTTTCAAGTCCTAGAAAAGTGAAACCATACCTGTCAATAAACAAGAGGACAGAACATTGAAAACATCCATTGGCATGTAGTATATATTAGCAAGGTCTTTATTTCATGTTCTGTACTGCAGAGGAGAGCAGAGACGTTACCAAGCCCAAGCTAAAAAGCTCTGCTGGAGCAGAGCTCCACACCACAAACAGGAATTAGGAATAACATCTTAGAAAGGACTCCAATGTAGGTCTCAGAGTAACCCACATCATTATTTCGCCACTGCACACAAAAGCAGCAATTTGGGTGCAATATTCACAGAGTAGACATACGTATCACACAGTAAATATTGTCCGTTTCTCGGGCATTAGAACAGAACCTGCACGTGCCCCCGTGCGCCCCAACAAATGAGCCTCGCCTGCTTTGGGCACTGCAGTGCTTTGGGACTCCTCTTAGCGGGGAATGCAAACCCAGGCTTCTTGAAAAGCTGCTCAGTAAAGACTGTTTGTAGAGTAACACTTCTACAGAAAAACTTATTCAAATCCCAAGACTCATGTGACTTCACAAGGCTTTGGATCAGGCCCAGGGCAGATGTTCCAACATGCTTTCCAAGCACCTGCAATTCATCAGTTTGTGAGCACCTGATTAGGGAAACAGGTCTACTACTTTCACATAATCTTCACCTCCCTCCCACTATGTTAGCTCAGGCAAAAAAAACCCCACAACCTTCAAGTTTCTTACTTTTTTGCACCCTTCACCAAAGCAATTTCATCTGGGGAAGAAGAGATATAGGTAAATTTGTGTTCCTGATGTCCTACCAATCCATCCACCTGGTCTCCTTCTTTGATTCGAACAGTGTGGCAAAGGCACAAAGCACGCAGGAACAGCTCTTCTCGACACTAGGCAGAACCAGAGGACAGGTTCGTTACAAACTTCAGTTCACGTATCCAGTCCCACCTCAAAGTCCTTGGTGGTGATTGTTGTGTACGCATATTTTAAGAAACAACTATGACCAAGACAAATAACAACTTGGGTTTTTCAGAATACTAACTCAGACGGGAATTTCAGAGAAGCCCGAATTAGATGGTCAGCAGCCAACTCCCTCTGGGCACTTACTCCTTAGACCAGTTAATTTATTTCAGAGGTACGTGCTGTGCCTTAGTTCTCAAGGCCAGTTGTTAGTGCAACTGTTAAATAGCTGTTTCTGCGCTTCGACACTATGTAGTGTTGTCTCAGGGATGGAGAAAACATAAAAGTCCCAAGAATTGATTCATTATTGCTAGACACTATCTCTGTGCGAGCTCAGTGAGCGGTCAAGAAAACCGAACCCAAACATCAGAATACCGACATACCATGGGGGGGGGGGGAAATCGATACTAGATTTGTGATCCCGAGCCCCAAATGTTGGTTCAGAAGCTGTCAAATTGGGCAGTGCTCAAACCCTGCACCTGAATTTGTACTTCCACAGTAACAGGTCGCTTAATTACTCAGCCTAGAGCTGACAACAGAAAGTCGAAGTTATCACCACACAGACTCTTTACCTTCTCTGCTTTGCCATAGTATTTTAGGGGTCCATCAGTCTGGGAGAAGCCATCAACCTCTGACAGGCAGTCTTTGTACTTGTGTCCATCTATGCAGCACTCAATGAACTCCATGCTGTTTTCCGTCAAGGTCCCAGTTTTGTCTGTGAACACGTACTCCACCTAAAAGCAAGCAGCCAGCTTTCCTCAGTGCATTTCCACCTTCCATTGCTGGGCAGAGAGCCAGGCTGTGGAAGCAGCTCCCCCCAAGAAATGAAAGGCTGGGGCATTTTAATACATCTGAGCCAATCCTGGAGAATCCTCTTCCACTTTCCTAACCTGGACCCCAAAAAGAGGCATGTGCCCCACGTGAGTTAAACCACCATATAGTTTAACTACTGCCTTCCTCAAAGCAGCTCCCTTGTTTTCCAGCCCGTTTCTCAGCTGGCTGGAGGCAGCTCCTGAAGACTTTTAAAATCCATCTCAAGGCCCTTAGCTTTTCCTTGTTCTCTTTATTATTTCCTTTGCTATAGTTTCTGATGATTACATAGCTGCTACTGCAGGTTTATCGCCTCCTTTGTGGGATTTTCATCTTGGTGGTGCATTTAAATTAGGCAATTGTTACTCCAAATTGAACAAACTGAGTAAAATAAAAGCAGGAGGCACTGCGCACGCACCACACGCGGTCTCTGCTGACGTGGATAAATAAAGAGGAGCTAGCAGCTGCCTAAGGGCTCCAGCAAAACTAGCAGCAGTGTGGATGCGCGTGCATTGTGTGCCCAGAGAAATGATTGGGGAGGCGTTATTTTCACTAATCCTTGAAAGGGATAAGAGGATTTTTATTCATAATTGAAGCAGCGAAAACAAACCATCCTGACATGCAGAATGCTGCTCTTGACATTCCCCAATATGGGAACAATTCGCATGACCCAATTCCTACTCTTTCATGCACTATTTATAACCTTATCCATTTCACGAAGTGAGTAGAATCACATTAAATGGAAACTGCCACCAACCCAGCTGAAGCTCTGCACTGACAGGACCACAACTGACTGGCAGAATAAGGTTTCTTATTAAGGAGAACATTAGGGACTCTTGCAGCGGTGGCCCTCCAATTATTTTTCAGAGCTATCAAGAGCTGCATGCTGGAACAAAAGCAGCAATTAATTTTCTCCCTGTCCTGCTCCATACCAAGCTTTGATCTTCTTTAGTCTTAATTAAATACAGCAAGGCTTTTAATTCCTGCTTAAGCGCTCTTGTTAAAGAAGTGGTAAAACGACAAGACAACATGGTTAATCACTTCTTCAGGTTCCTCTGTAAAAAAGAAGTACTGCAATACTCAGGTCAACGCTCCAAAGATTTTACACTTCGCCGTTTTGGTTTTCAACAGAACATCCCAACACCTACGCTGAAGGAGATGGAGAGAACTGTCAAGCGGGAGAGAGTGTTTGAGGCACAGTCATCTAAGTCTTCAGGCACAGAAGTGACCACAAGTGACAAACACTGTCCCCCTCCACCAACGAGACCTCTGCGCTCGCTGTGTGACTGAGCGGCAGTTCGCCGGCTCAGAGTGGAGAGAAGTCTCTCTGTCATGCCCTCCCTTGGCGCAAGAGATGTCAGCCCCGCTGCTCCAGCCTGGGCAGCTGGATGTGTTCACTCGAGAAAGCAGCAGGTTTTACAGAAAAATCCTCCCTTGAGTCACTGGCTAACACATCCCCACCGCAGCAGGAAGGGATGATGCATGCACTGTCTGCGTGTGTGGTGTTAAAAGTACACCCTTCTGCCTCACCTTCCTGTCCTGGGTGATCTAATGCCAATACAGCCAATTTTAGTTAAAGCAGATACAGAGAGAGAAACAGAGAGAGTATATTCTGACCTGTCCGAGTTCTTCATTCAGGTCCGAGGTGTTCACCAGTGCGCCTTCTTTTATTTCTTCATCGTACATGTCCTTATCCCAAGAGATGAAGAAGGAGCCCAAGAACTTCTGCATCTCTACTGTAACATACATGGAGACTGGGATAATAAAATTGAAGAGGACCATGAATGACAAGAAGTCCGTGAACATCCTCAAAACCTGCAATGGAAAGAGGAGAGGAAGATGCAACCTATGCCCATCAGACATAACTCAGGGACACGTTCAGTATACAGCAACACCTTCAAGGTTTTAGACAGCTTTTTCCTAGGGTTAAATAGAGAAAAAATAAAAGCCGCTGAGAAAAAAAGTGAATACAGCTAAGCTACAGGGCCAAATTCCATTTTTCTCCCATGTAGGAGTGCTTTGTCTTCTACAGATCTGAGGGTATATTACAGAAATGTATTTCAGTGTCTCATAATGGCTAAAGCTACGTTTTATTCAAGTATACTCCTGTAAATGCTATAGGCTGATTCTGATCTCAGGTTACTGGAAATGAGGAGCAAGTGGTCTGAGATCAGTGAAGCCATGACCAAGGTACAACTGATTCAATGACATCCTTCTAAGTCCTCCTCAGTGACCAACCAAATCAACTGCTCACTGCTCACACATGCACGCTCGCTCTTTCACGCTTGGCCACCTGCACCTCAACAAGTTTAAGAGCCTCGCTGACATGGCCTCAATTCAAGTTTAGCTACTCAAAGCTGAAATTACCTACTCAAAGCTGAAAGGTAGCTCAAGTTCAGATAAGGATTCAGGTTAAATCAGCTACTGCATTTATATAATATTTCTGCACGGTGCAAATGATGTTCTCTGCCTGCTGTCAGTAACTGGCATGCGTTCACTTCTCTCCAGGGCAACTGGGACGCCAGTGCACGAGCAGGGTTAGCAGCAGGCGTGGCTAAGAGCATTGGCTTGCCGTACTACACACAATTATTCTTATGCACAAGTAGAAAAAAGGTAGGTAGCAACTGAGATAGGAAACAAATACAAATAGAAGAGACTGAAGCAAACAACAGCACTTCCAAAGAGCAAGCAGGAACCGTAGAGCTGGCCCAAAGAGCAAGCAGGAACCGTAGAGCTGGCAGCAGGCATTATCAGAATAAAGCTGTCAGAATAAAGCTGGAGGACGTGCTGAAATACAGATCCATTTACCTTGAATGTCTCTCTCTCTTTCTTAGTCTTTTCATTGTACCAAGGCTCATCATTAAATGGATTACTCTGCCAGACATATTTCAGAGTCGTGCAAACCGTAGCTTTGCTCAAAAGGATGCATAAATACACTATCAAGAAAGCGTTGATAGATCTGAAAAATAGGTTTCTCTTTAAAATTCTCACACCTATTTTTAATAGAAAATTATGCAAATAAGCAGGAACAAAACTTCCTTACTTTTAAGGAGGGAATTACAGAACAACTGCCTTTCACAGTGCTGATATTGAGGGTCAGTTCATATATTTTAACATTTCTTACTTTTTTTAAAATAAAGAAAAATTACTAAATGATGCAGCTTCTTGAAAGATATGCTTAATCAAATATACAGATTTTCTATGCAATCAGAGAGCATCTGAAACAAAAGGCAGCAGATTAGGGGATTATTTCTGCACAAATCAACCATGAAAGAAAAACAAACAAACAACCTCCTCCCCTCCCTCCCCCCCGAGCTTTTACTGATTTTTCCCTACTATAAATACTCACTTTTCTACAGCAGAACGTTTCTGAGATTTCCCTTGGTAGTTCAAAGCCATTTTCGTTTCCATTCCAGTATAGACTGCGACTCCTACAGAATATTAAAGCAGAGCTCATAAGAGACTCGCAACCCAAGGGGGATCCAGCTCTCCCTTAGCCATAAGGGGCATCAGTGTTTACATGCAACTTGATTCTCAGTTCAAGAAGAGGTATTGCCTATGGGCTGCTCAGCTACAGAAACCTCAGTGGCTGCTAAGTAGCGTTAATTGCATATATGCCTGAGCCTTGCTCAGGAGGCTAGGAAGCACACATGGTTAGAAAAAGGGTTAGCCCTCCATCTCAGCCTGCATCCTAAATTACAAATGTCTGCGACTCAGATAATAGCACAGGTTTTCAACAAAGGATTTCGAGACAATTCCCTACTCTGCATACATCAGGCAGAAAGGGAAAAGCTTGCTCAGGTACATTAGCCCAGCCTACACAGCTTGGCGGTGTTGCAGACGTAACCAGCATCTCCAAATCCCACTCAACTTGGTTATGAACATGACCGTAGAGCCCTAGCAGACAGGCTGTAGATAAGCATTTTCTCCTCCCTAGATTTAGGGCTGAACATCTATGTTTGTCTGCTACCGTTGTTCATCAGAACTATTTGAATAAAAACAGACTGAAAAAAATTGTTCACCATAAATCTTCTTGGTATTTTTGAGGGTAGCACCTTTCAGCAACAGGTTTTCAGGACCCAAAGACCTAAAATAAAAAAAATTACAGCATTACAGCATGGAAAACACATTCTAATTTCTTTATAACTCAAACCTAGAGATAAATTAAAAAGCTAAACAGAGGTTCTTAAGATCTGATTACTTGATTGGTATATTAAATTAGTAATTGTTCAACTTTGCCTGTTTTCCCCTTTACATACGTTCATTTTCATTTCACCTTATTCAGACTACTCTTGGTGTTCAAAATTCCAGATTTAATGGTGGATTTCAAGTCAGGTTTTTGAGAGTAAGTGCAAAATAATCAGATCTAATAACATATTCCAGTACTTATATAAAACGCTGATTGTAAAGGTGGTGAATGCCTATCAGTTTGCACACAGGCAATCAAATAGCACCATGAGAAGATGGCTGCATCTTTTGCCCCCTTTCCACTCATATTTTCATTTCTCTTTGAAATTCCCATCCATGACTCTCTGTTGCTTCTATTTCCTCAATCAATCAGGAGAATTATTGGACTGCAAATATCTAAACAAGCAAGCATGTGCTGTCCCATCACTGAGGATTTCTGTGCCGCAGGGAGCGTTCAAGGCAAGCATCCATCTCTCAATCCCTAAGACTTGGCCCTGTAGGTTTTCTGGTTAATCTGTCACAGTATGAAGCATGATGGGCACCACACCGAGGACAGAAATGGTCCAGCTGGCTTTGAAGATGTTGTACAACTTTCCTTGCCTATTCTTTCTGAAACATCTTGATTGATATACAAGCTTCTGTTCTCCCATGAGCAACAATCTCTTGCCATTGCCTGGGGAATGTGTTCCCCACTGGATCATTTCGGATCGACTGTATGAGGACCGGGGCTGTCCTCCAGTCTAGGCTCTTCACAGCACTGAGCCCATCCCCGTTTTCCCTGCCCTGACAACATCACTACGCACGGTGAAAGCGTGTTTTGCCAATACGAACAAGTTACCAGTGCTCAGACCGGAAAAGGAACTAGTTAAACCCCCAATTCACCCGCAGAGAGAGGAATGGCTTTCTGGAGAGTAGACATGGTACTCATCATACCATGCTTTTAATTCAGCAGAGGGATTAAGTTAACAGGTGATCCTGCACTCCAAAAGCTTTGCAATTGAGACGCCTGTCAGACTCACCCACCCGTAAGGCCATGAAGGACAGCTCTTGCAGGCACAAGAGCGGATGAGGGGAAACGCGCATTTTCTTAATATCACGTGAGCCCTCAGACCTGCAAATCCATCTTGCACGCACAGTGTCCTGAGTCATTTCTTGGAGGCTCTAACAGCTAAGACCAAGAGATTGTCTACAGCTTTCACTCCAAGTTACCAAGAGTCTCCTAAATCACCAGGAATGGTACAAGTGAATCACTGAATGGCAGAACAGAGTAAGCAGAGAGCTAAATTACAGGCCTCCTTTAATAAGTGAAATATTCGGAACAGTTAAAGAAAATAAACATTCCCCAGTGATGGTAATGAGTTCAGATGCTTGAACTTTCATGCAGATGCCTAATATCTTTGAGGAGGGCCAGCAAAACAGCTACAAGACTAACCTAGCCACAGGTTCTTGATTACTTCTGTAGATAATAATTCTTCCAACAAATCTGCAACAAAAATAATAAGAAACCTGTATTATAAACATGCGTTAATATTTCACTAAAAAGAGTGACCACAAGCATATTAAACATTGTCAGGTGATGGAAACAAGCATGCAGATTAGCGTACTTGAGAGCTTCCCGCTTCAGAGGGGTCCTTGCACTCGGGACGGACAAGACAACCACCCGCCATCCACCCAGTGCTGCTCTTCCCGTTACTGCTCGGAGCGGTAGTAACAGACTGCACATAGGCACTCCTGTTTCACTTACAAAACAAAACACATTGCAGCAAACCTCCTTCAGGAGATTTAACCACAAAGACACCTTAATCCTAAAAGCAAGTTCAGGCCAATACACTCTCACTTTGAGTGCACAGTCACCTAAGAACAGGCACATGGACCGTTACTACAGCTTGGCTGACAAAAAAAAAAAAACTCATTACACCACAACAAGTGTTTCACTAGAGATGTTTTACTGTAAAACTGAGTCCTGAAGAAGGCTGGCTTTGACTTTGCCATCCCTGGTGGGGAAGGAGGCCAGCAGCTTATCACCACCTTCAGAAAAAATCTTTCACTCTTTGATGAAAGGAAAACACCATTCACCTCGCTGAACTGTAACTTATTAGATCCCTACCCAGCGTGGCTCAGGCACCTGTAGGAAGACGACACCAGCCGGCTAACGGCCAGGTCGGGAGAAGACGAGGAGCAGTGCCTGATCGCATACTCACTTGTAGAGGTCAGGCTGAGGCTGTTCACATTCGATCGTGGCAGTAAGGGAGTCTATGGCTTCATCCGTACAGAGCACGCTGGTATCCCGCACCGCGTAATGAGTCTAGGCAAAGACAGCACAGGCATGACCGTCAGGAGCCAGCTAGCCCCGCCGATTCCCAGTAACGCAACTCATGCTCCAGCAGGCGGTAGTTTTAGCAAGTTACTTAAAACGCTGCTGCATGGAAAAGGCTTGAGAACGAGCCGCTCATCCGAGCTCTCACCCCTCTCCTACAAAACAGCTGAAGTGCCTTGCAGCTGAAGAACGAGGGGGAATATGCTTAGAAGAAAGCATAGTGGGAAGGAGCCATTAGATATCTGTTCAATAAGGAACGCACTAAAAACAGAACAACTTGGGTTTTTCCCCCAGAGCGCTAAGCCCGTGAGGCTTGCAGACTCCTGCGACCCTGGTTTGCGTCAAGGGGAGGCTGCAGGTGCTCCCCGGGTGGGGAGGGCCTCCGTGGCCCTGGCCCGTGCTGCTCCTGAAGGTAATTAGGAGGTGGCTCCGGTGCCAGGGGACCAAGCAGGGCACTGGCAGACTCAAGGCTATTTTTAGCAGCTGCTGCCAGGAAGGTTCATCTCTCACAATTAATTGGAAAGCCCACGACAGATCCACCCAGTGCCTTCAAGGCTCTATTTATAGGAGCTACTTAGAGCTCTAAATCACTCCAAGCTCTTCGACAGGCTGCCTTAATCCATCTTCGTAAACAAGTTCATTAAAAAGCTTCCTCGACCCATTGTGTTTGTGTTCCTCTTACTGTGCATCCTGGGAGGAACCGTGACATTACACGCATTGTATTCATGACATTATAAATACCCACCTTAATACGCTTTTGGTATCCTGCCTGGCTTTTCATATTAAAAGCATGCACGCGCGTGCATACACATGTGCAAGTCTGCTATAAATCACAGCTTTTGTGAAACAGAATTCAAATCCGTTCATAAAGCCCCTGTTAAACTTGGCATCCACCGCTCCTGTAACCACGGACACTGAAACCACTGTACAATACCTCAAAGCAGCGTCCTAATCGATATCAGCTCCTTCACTTATTTAGAAAGTGCTGCTCCTTTCACATAATTTATGACCAAAGATTCCTGCTTCAAAAGACAGAACCCTGCCAAAATCCACTGTATAATTCTGCTCCCACTTTATATGAATAGGAATCTTTCCCCATAAGCATGAACTGACATGCACCAGGTACCAGAAAAGCATCCAACAGGCAGACAGCAAGTATCAGTGTACGTGAGGTTTTGGGAGCACGTAAGTGCTCTTCCCTCATCCTAGTTTTGCAAAAAGCCTGGTTCTTGATGTTGGATCTATGTCCCCAAACAGCACTCGCTGTTCTATCCTTCCCCCCTACCCCCACGCTCTCCTCAAGCTTTCGTTTTCCATTTTCATCTCATCAAGAAACAGGAGACAACTCCCAATCATCCACAGGAATTCACAAACCAAGAAAAAAATACAGAGATAGATACATGCACACACACTCCTTAAAACAGAAATTTAACATTCCACTTAGACTTAGACTCAAAAGTTAGTAAGAGCTAAGACTCTCGAAGTTACGTTAACTCATGCATGTAACATACCTGACATTAATAAATGATTGCCTATTTAATATGGTTATCTATTTTTGGCCTCAAGCAGCTTCAAAGCTCCATTCCTCTTTGGTAGTGTGACTAGTATGATACACCAACACAGCATCAGCATCTGCATGTGATTTTTAGTGTCGATTAAGAGCCACCCATAACGAGTCTAGCTGTAGGCCCCTTACAATGCAAGAGACCAGTGATGGTATTCCCACCAACTCGACAGCGTGCTGGAATTAATCATGTAATTTTGAAGTGATTTCCATTTTTCCTGCTGCAGTTGCTAACACCTGTACAAATATTTATCCAATATAAGTGCAAACAGGTTGTCATGTTT